CCCCAAAACCCCAAAACCCCATCTAGTAAGATTAGTTGTGATAAGACATTGATATTAAAGCAAGGACTATTTTGAAAAATAAAGAGCAGAAAGAGTTGGATAGTAAATTTTATAAAACATTCATAACATTCACTAAAATGTTTGATTAGCAGAGGCAATCATTCCCTCCAGAGAAGTGTCAATACCTCTGTTTAAGGTAGCTAAAATTACTGTAATGTTGTCTGTTATCAGTCTCTTATATATTGCCTCGTTCACCAATTCTCTTGCTACCTTTTGTGGATCTTATTCCATCACCGCCATTTAAGTTAGCTTTTCCCTTGCAATGTTTACACATTCTTAACTCGAAAATCTATCAAAAAGTCCGTCTGAAGCCAGTAGTATAAAATGGTCTCGAACCGTGTCAATATTTATTACCCTGATCTGATAAGCAATTAAAAAAACAAATTACCTCAGGTTCATTTAAAACAAAACTTTTAATTTCTTTCTCCTAATCGTCATTTGGAACTTCTATGTTTTTACAGTCAAAATCTCCAAAAGCTCTTGTTACTGCTAATCTTCCTAAAACTCTTCCAAACACGATATACCCTCCTTACTTTCTGATTCTCTCCTATTCATCCTCTCTTGACTAATACTTTCAATTACAAGTAACTTACAGCTTTGTGATCGACTGAGAGATCAATTGCTTTACCATTTCTGCATAAAATTGCTCTTGCATCACCAACATTAGCACAGACTAATTTATTTCCTAAAATTAGGCAAACTACAGCAGTTGCTCCACATTGATTAGCAACAGTAGGGAATATTTATTTATACTTCATGTCAGTCTCCTCAAAGGCTCTATAAATGCAGTTGACAAGAGATTCATTAAGGTCTTCTGATTCCTTGATACCATCTATATTATCTAGGAAGCATTTCTTAATTTCAAGATGAAGATTATCTCTTAAATAGTTTGCACAATCTGGCCCACCATGTCCATCGAAAACAGCATAATAAGTTACAGATGTCTCTTCATCTATTACCATATCTTAGACTATGCAATAGGAGTCTTCCATGTGTGGCCTCTAACCTATATCACTCACGATTCCAGTGTTGTATCTCTCAACTAGGAATTCAAGAGTACCTATTCTAAATGCATGTCCAGGTCTTAAAATATAACTTTCGAGATCAAAGAGCCTTCTATATACACCACAAGAATCCCAGCAGTTGAAATTCAGAGTCCTCATAACTAATGTGTTATTATCAAAACAAATTTCAAAATGTCTATCTACGATTCTATCGCCAGTAAGTACGTATTTCACATCTTTGCCTTCCTTGCAACCAAACACTAGGGGCCTGTCCCCTAACAGAGGTATTTCCCTAGCTTATACACCTTATATAATTGGTCCTTTGATAAATTTCAATATGAGTAACTTTTTCCTTGAGGTTTATTTCTATATTATATCATCTGAATCCAGATCTTCAATGAGAGAAAAGAACCTATCTATTTCGTCGCTCTCGCTTTCTATCTTAACAAAATATTTATGCTTTCAAATTATCATACTTTTCTAATATCTGCCCTAGTCAATTTTTGAGATAGCTCTTTTAGTTGTACTATTCCTTTTTACTTGCAGAGGTCATTATACTTGTAAAAACCATACCTGCGTAACCAATTTCCTACCTCGTCGAAGTACTCAGAGCCTAAACATGTTAATCATTTAAAATGACTGCTAACTTACTCTCTTCTATCTGGAAATGATAGTCCTTCACTTTAAAGACTCTTTTTCGACTCTATTGATACAAATCTATCTCTTTTACTCTAACCCAAGTTCCTGATTCACTTCCGCAATCTCTAAGGACGTATTTACAGTTATCAACGAATTTAATTTCAGCATGCTTCTCAGATAACTCAGCAGACTCAATGTACATTGTTAAATCAATCTTCTCTGGATCTCCTGATCCGAAAAGTTCACCATCAGGTGTTGTATTGATGAATAAAAATTTTCCACTAAATATGCCATCTGTACACTTAAGCAAGTAGTTATAATTTCCTCTTTCAGCTATATTGGAATTAAATTATTTTATGGAACAAAATAGTGTTTAAATGATTTACTTAGGTCTCTAAATCTTTCCCCATTTCCAATAAAATCTTTGAGATTTGGAGCTAGATCATATGATTCTACCATTTAAAGTCCAAGATATAAAATATTTTAATCGATTTCAATTTTGCTTCTATTTTTTTATTAAGGGGTTTTGGGGTTTTGGGGTTTTGGGG